AATAGGGGTAACTGAGGCTTGAAGGGTTTTTTCAGTATTGAGCTCAGGATTTGAGCTAAACCCAAGCGATAAATGCTTCCAATTGATAGTTGGATCATGCCTTTGAAGCCATGGAAGACCTAGGATAACTGGGTACTTCATTGGTATAACATCTAAAGAGATGGTGTCTGAAAATGTTGATTTTCCTAGGGGAATCTCAAGTTTGAGTACTGGGGTGTTGCAGGTAATGGAACCTGAACTGATAGGAGTTCCATCAATGACTCGGAGCAACTCTGGAGTGGGTTTGGGAATTGTAGGTAACTGGTGTGTCAAGATGAGGTCTTGAGATATAAAGTTGCCTGTTGCCCCTGAGTCTATCATAGCCCTTGTAGACAACACCTGTTGTTTGAAATGGAGTTGAATAGGGATTAACAGGTGTGTGAGACTCTGAGAAAGCACCATCGACACATCTTTGTTGTCTAGGGGAGAAGTTATAGTCTCAGTTGAAGTTGTGCCTGCTAGGGATTTTTCAAGTTTTTCAGGAATAGCAGTTGTGACTGTGTCTGAGGCTGCTATATGTTTTGAATCAGCACTCCCCCGTGCTGAATAGCACTCCTGAATTCTGTGTCCCCCTTTGCCACAGTATAAACAAAGGTTGTTGTCCATTCTGTGTTTTCTTTCTTGAGGGGTAAGTTTACCCCTTTTCAGTTTTTGAGGGTATCCTGTAGGCTGAGGTGCTGGATTTGCTGTAGATCTCTTTATAGAGGCGTCTAAGTCCATAGGTTCAGGTGCTGAGTCCTTAGCAGTTGGTGTAGAGGTGTAATTGTTGAAATTTCTTGTTGGATGCCAGTCTTGGTTCTTCTCCTTTCTTCTTTCAAAAAGCCTATCATCAAGTCTGACAGCTTTCTCTATAAGCGTTTGAAGTGTTGTAGGGCGTTCTTCTTTGCTGAGTTCATCCTTAATAGAGCTCTTGAGCCCTTGGTAGTAAGTGAAGACTAAGGCTTCTTCATTCCAAGTCAAGTGAGAAGTGATTCTCCTAAATTCTGTTGTATACTGAGCAGCAGAGGTCTTTTGACATAGCTTCTGTAGCTCTCTTTCTGCTGTAGCAGTTTCGTTGATGTCTCCAAAGGTCCTGGTAAGTTCCTCTTGAAACTGGTCATAAGAGGTAATCAAAGGTGTAGTGGTATTTTGGTTGTTGCCACTAAGTCTTCTAAGATATGGCTCAAAGAAGTTGAATGCAGATCCACGGAGGTAGCTGGCAGCGAAATAGATCTTCTGAATGTCTGAGGTGAACTGATGAGGCCTGAGGGTGAAGTAGATGTCCAGTTGCATAAGAAATCCCTTCAACTTCCTCCTGTCTCCATGGTATAAATCTGGTGTTTGCACTTTAGGAAGTGCACCTGGGGTACTCGAAATAGCCAGAGGAGCTGTGGGAAGCTCTGTATGATGTGTCTGAGTTGAAGATTGTGTTGCTGAAGTGTTGGCTTGAAAGGTGTTTTCCAAATTCTCAAGTTTGTTTGCTATAGTTTGTATAAAGGCAAACAGTTGTTGCATCTGCTGTTCAGCAGTAGTTGTAGGAGCTTGGTCGTCCTCCATTGTAGTATCGAGTGCTGCTATAGAAATAGTTGAAGCTTGAAGCAGACAAGGTGTAATGGTGGGTGCACCAGATATGAGAATCTAGCCACCCAAGGAAGGGATGAATTTACTAAGACAACACACTGTCTTAGGAAACAGAGCCAAAGGGTTGTAGCTTAGACTATTCCACAACGCAGCAATCAGGTGTATGATGTGGTGAAGTGGTTTAGACAAGTTGCAACAAATGTTGAGTCTGAGAACTCAGGGGTAAGTCAGAGGTTAGCACCTCACTGACTTTTCAAAAAACAGAGAATAACAAGATCAATGCTTGGAAGCTTGGAAAAGACGTAGAAGTATGTGCTAGTCGATTTACTGTATTGTCTGCTTGCCCTTTCTTAAAGAAAGGGCAATCCTATTTATGCCAAAGGAGTGTAGTTCTCTCATTTTCCATGACTTTCCATGACTAACCAGGCTTGGTAAATGTATTAGAAATCAAGTGCGACCCACAACTAGCTTGCTAATCATGTAGTGAACGTAAGAGAATCCCATAGAACCATCTCTTGGGTTCCTAGCCTATAGGAAGTGAAAAGGAGGTCCAAGGTCACAGTACGTGTAATGAATCATAGAGGGTTGTAGAAGCTTCTAGAGCTATCGTTCATGTTCCTAGGCCTCTAGTTGGTAGAGATATGCCATGTGGTAGTATTGGCCCACCCCCTTAAGGAGGAGATTTTCTTAATAACTTGTTCAATGAGTGTCCAAATGATATGCCGTGATGTATGTAGCATAAACAGATGTAGTAGAAGAGTTTGCAGCAATCGTTGAGTAGTATTGCTTCTGTTGTTGGTGTGATAAGCCAAGATATGTATGGTGACTTGTAGGTTTGAGGAGGAGATTTCTAAGTTTGCTCTTGAGTTTGATAGCAAACTGAGTGCAACGAATGTCAGTATGACAACTGAGTGCAATGAATGTCAGTATGACAAGTATGACACTCGTTAACCTTTCCAAAGTAGGGTTAGCGGCCAACTGGGTAGATGGAGTTTTCTTACCAGTTTACTGGGTATATCGAGTTGTTGCCCTTGTTTTTAACTTGAAGATGAGTTGCTTAACGTTCCACATGTGGTGTATGAGACGCGGCATGCGATGTGGTGGGGTAACAGTTTGCATGGGGGGTTGTTCCCGCCAATTAACATTTTGGCCTTGGCGATCAGGCCGAAATCGCGTTTAACGATTTTTGTTCGAAGCTCCAAGACGCGATATCTCCAAAAAGAGCTCGAGACCACCTCACCTCTCTGGCTCACCCCTCTCAACCACCCATCATGTCGCTCAATATCCCTAATGCCCCGAACGCCAACTTGTTCAAGCAGGGCTATAACTCGTACGCCCTCCCATTCCGTTTCATTCCAGCGCCGCCGCGCACATATATTATTTCTGCTAACTCCTATCCAGCTACGACTCCGAAGATGGAGCTGTCCTTCGCAATATCGATGCCTGTCGCACAATCTCCTCCACCGTCCAGACATCCCTTGGACCTTACGGCCGCAACAAGATCGTCATCAACCATCTGCAGAAGATGATTCTGACCTCCGACGCTGCCACCATCCTCCGCGAACTCGACGTTGTCCACCCAGCCGCAAAGCTTATTGTCATGGCTTCCCAGCAACAGGAAGCCGAGATGGGAGACGCCACGAACTTGGTCATCGTGCTTGCCGGAGAGCTGCTTAAGAAGGCTGAGGATCTGTTGAGGATGGGGTTGAAGACATCAGATGTTGTCCAGGGCTACGAGAGAGCACAAAAATACGCACTGGAGGTGCTCGACGAGTTGGTGGTGGATAAGGTGGAGGATATGCGGTCACAGAAGGAGCTCAGCAAGGCCATCAGGACGGTCGTTGCGAGCAAACAATGCGGCAGTGAGGACTTCTTGGCGGACCTTATCGCTGAAGCTGTGTTGGCTGTTCTGCCAAAGAACCCAACGCAATTCAACGTGGATACCGTCAGAGTTGTTAAGATTATGGGAGGAAGCATGGAGCAGAGCAGAGTTGTCAAGGGAATGGTCTTTGGCAGGGAGCCAGATGGATCCGTGAAGAAGGCGGTCAGGGCCAAGGTCGGCGTCTTCTCGTGCCCGATCGACACCAGCCAGACCGAGACCAAGGGCACGGTTCTGCTACACAATGCAAAGGAGATGCTGGACTTCACCACAGGTGAGGAGAGCCAGCTGGAGGTTGCCATTAAGGAACTCTACGATTCGGGTCTTCGCGTTGTCATTGCCGGCTCCACTGTCGGTGAGCTAGCGATGCACTACCTCAACCGCTTTGGAATCCTGGTCATCCGCATTCTGTCTAAGTTCGAGCTCAGAAGAGTATGCAGAGTCGTTGGTGCCACCCCATTAGCAAGACTCGGCGCCCCGATGCCGGACGAGATGGGAAGCATTGACATTGTCGAGACGTTGGAGATTGGCGGTGACCGTGTGACCGTTTTCAGACAGGAGAATGACTCTACAAGGACCGCTACTATTGTTCTGCGCGGCGCCACGATGAACCACCTCGATGATATCGAGCGTGCCGTTGATGATGGAGTTAATGTCGTCAAGGCTATCACAAAAGATCCGAGGTTAGTCCCAGGAGCTGGAGCCACAGAGACGGAACTTGTTGAGCGGATAATGGCACACGGCGAGACGACCCCTGGCCTGCCACAATACGCCATTAAGAAGTATGCCGAGGCGTTCGAGGTCATCCCAAGGACACTGGCTGAGAGCGCTGGATTGGACGCTACCGAGGTGCTGAGCAGGTTATACACTGCCCACCACAAGAAGGAGGACTGGTCTACTGGTGTTGATATTGAGGTATGCTAATATCCTGATTCTCCTTCCCAATATGCTAGCGAAATATACTAATGACATCTATAGAACGATGATGGAACCGGAATACTTGATGCCAAGGACGCCGGCATCCTTGACCTGTTGGTCTCCAAGTCTTGGGCCATCAGGCTTGCCACCGAGGCGGCTCGCACCGTCCTCTCCGTCGACCAGATCATCGTCGCGAGACAGGCTGGTGGACCAAAGCCGCCAGCGCCTAATGCCAACTGGGACGAGGACTAGATGAATGTGCTGGGGAGGGGAAGAACTTGGCGAGCTGGGAGACGCTTGGGCTAGATGTATAATACCTAGTTGTGAGGATACAGCCGGGAATAGAAGTATGGCACCCCGCCCTGGCATATGCAAGTATCAATCAACAACGAAGCGAATGTAACATTGGCATGGAGCATCCGTGATCTAGGTTTCTGCGATCTCGCCTGTCCGTCCTACGAGTTGTGGACATCCCGAGGCCAGGAGCCAATGTCTGTATACTTCTCTACGATAACTACAACCAAGGCCAGCTGTCACGGACATGTATGAATGAGACCAAATATTCCAGAAATTTTTCAGCAGTTGATACGTAGTTAAGATGATACAAGTCCTTAAATTCCACCAGCAGAAGAAGTACATAATGTTTTTTCGTGAACGCATCAAACAGTCGATTTTTCCATCCATGTCACCACCACTGTGACCATATTGTCCACTTCGACGACTACAAACCACCCAGTAATAACTCCCCTTCCGAAGTGATTGCTTTCCATAATCTCGACATACCTACTTGCGGCCGGCAATCAACATTGGTTGGCTGAATGGCGCCTCCAGAGCTGACCGGAGTATCCCCAGCGTCCGTACGTGATGCCGTTATTGGCACCACTGATGGCAGTAGGATATCAGGGAGGCACAGCGTGTAATCGCCACCAAGGGAAGTGCATGAGAATCCCGGCGCACACGAGCCGTTGCTGGAGCCTATTATGGTCAGCGAGGAACGCTCCAAAGTGACATATGAGGGGATGATATCTGTACATATACCGCCGATGGACTGGCGTTTTGCGATATCCGGAACATCATTTCGCGGCACTGAGGTACGAGTAGGCTGAGGATCGTAGATCACCGATCGGCTGACTGGCCCAAGATGCTGAGCCACTGCAATGCGTGGCACTGCGATGGCTGTAGGTTGGGCATCGGTGATCACTATGCGGGTGATTTGACCAAGCCCCTGTGGCAAAGCCGTAGCGGCGGTTGCTGCGAGAAGCGCTGAGATGAGAAGAGCCTTCATGATTATGTAGGGAGAGCAACGCGTTTGTAGATCCGCCGTGGAGATAGAACAGACCTAGAGACAGTGTAGGGAATAATATGATATCATGATATATTGTCAGAATTAAGGTATATGATATTGTTACCATATTACATCTTGCGATATTATATCACGCCATATATCATGATATTAATATGGTGATATAGCAATATATTACAATACTAACAATATAGCTTGCTGTTAGTGTTTGGCACGGATCGTGCATGACCTAAGCTGATGTAGATACTAATCTAGATAACGTACATGTATAGCGAAAGCGCCAAACAAGCGAAAGCGCCAAACAAGCGAAAGCGCCAAAATTATCTACCCTCACGACAAACATTGCGATAAATCTACCACAACATTAGAAATCAATTGAAACTACTCGGAGTCCTCTTCCTCAGAGGTGTCTATTACAATCTGACACGTGCGCGCATTGTGCCCAGTCTCACCACACTTGCCACAGCGACGGGCACGGGTTTCTTCCCTTGGCTTCCGACCACGGCTTGCCCTTATTTCCTGCTCTACCTGCTGCACAACATCCCTCTCATTCTGTAGCTCTTGCGCCCCTTGTTGACTAAGTGATCCTCCTTGCTGTAGTCGTGTTTTCCTAGCTCTCCGGCGCTTGCTTAGTACTTCATTTGCCTGTCGTAGGTTTTGGTTCTCTCCCTTTAGCAGTGCTAATTGATGCATTATTTGCGATGCACCCTTTGTAAACTGGTCAACAGCTGCATAGATTGAGGTTGGAGAGCTATTTTGATGGCGTGAAATCCGAGTTTTAATAAATGTAGACTGTGACATAGCTTCAATTGGGTTGTTTGGTGTCTGAGAAACCCAAGGTTGAGCAGTACCTGGGCGGGAGCTTGGAGGCGTTGGTGTCCTTAACTTAAGATCAAGTGTAGATATCACTCTCTCAGGGTCAAATGGAAGAAGCCCTGCCCCTCGGAACCCGCCTCAAATGTTACTTTCCGTCATTGTAGTGTTAAATGCAGCGTGGAAGGCAGGAAAGAAGTCATCCTTTGTAATATGAGAAATATGAGCCTGCATCATATCTTCAATTTGCCGACCATAGGCCTGCTTTAACGGGCCGAAACAGCCAACATCAAGTGGCTGGAGTAGATGAGAAGAGTGAGCAGGCATACAAAGCGTAATAATGTTGTGTTCCTTGCAGTACTCCTCAAACTCATCTGAGTGGTGGCTCTCATGACCATCAAGGACTAACAAGCGATAACCACCAACACTCCGGGCCTTTGTATGCTTCTCAAAGTGCTGAATCCAATCCATGCCTCTCTCGTTTGTAGTCCAGCCATTTTCAGTAACAGAAATCACCCAATCGCTTGAAAATCCACTATTCTCATACCAAGATGTAAGGTGGTTTTTGCCTGCAACAATGATAAATGGTGGTACTGCCCAACCTTGAGAACTAACGCCTTGGATTACTGTAACCCATTCCCGATTACCAGGCTGTACCTTCTTTGCTTTTGCCCGCCCGTCTGAGCTTGTTACAACCATAGCAGTTGAGATAACGCCCATCATAAACCCAGTCTCATCAAAGTTGTAGATATCTGCTTCATCGATACCATATTTCGCAATTGTGTTACGCACAAGCTCAAACCAGCCATTAATAACTTCTGGATCTTCGCACTTAGCCCTCTGGTAGTCGTATTTGCGCTGAAAGCGTGTCTGGAGCTCTACACGCCGCTTAACAAAGTTTGAAGCCCAACGCGACCCAACGCGTGACGCGTCGCGTGTTGCAAGTAGTCGACTTGCCATATCTTCAACAACAGACAGCCGAGGAGGAAACCCTTTGGCAGCTAGGTCGAGTATATACTGAACAAGGACGGACTCCTCTAGGTTAGTTAATTTCCGTGAGTTGGCTTGGATATCGCGTCGTGAAGGTACACCTTCTAGACGACGACCTAGCTTGCGGTGGTCCACAGAATAGATCCTAGCAGCAACTCGAAGGCGTAACTTTGGGTCGCTTTGCATAGCCTGGATAGCTAGCACTAATTGGCTTTCATCGTTTTTATGGGGCATGTTTTGTTGTTGAGGAATTTAACATTTAGTTGGGGGGTTTGGTCACCGCATCATTTTGGCGCTTTCGCTTGTTTGGCGCTTTCGCTATACATGTACGTTATATCCTATCCGCTATAATTATGATCTATCTGTACGATCTAAGGATATATCTAGATCTTATAGATAATGCCAAGAATAGCTAAGAGTAGCTAAGGCCACATAATAGACGTAGAATTGATTCTGTAATAAAATACCATTGTAATGTAACGATTATAGTAAAAATGAGCGACTTGGAATTATCAGATTTGCCATTAGATCATAAGAGCTATTCTTAAATAGAAGAGCTATTGTTACTATATCTTCCACCTCAACCTACCCCTATTTAGCCTTTAGTTAAAGCAGTTAACATATTGATTAATCTACCTTAACATCTAAGGGTAGTACTACTACTAACATCATTAAAGCTCTTTATAAAGGGCTTATATCATTAGGAATTACTTAATACTTAGCCTCTAACTATAAAAATAATATGCCTACAACTAGGATGTGGATATTCACTACTACAATAAGGACTAAAGCAATCGTTAATAGGTAATCTATAGACACATTATTCCTTAAAGCATCTAACAGTATCATGTGCCCTTAAAAATGAGAAGAGGCAGCTGTGTGAGATGTTAAGCAGTACATCATCGTTCTTTAACCCACGCCTATTAGCTCTACTAAAGCAACCTAGTACTCCTTTAAAGTATAAGGAGTTATTACTATAGTTCATTATGTTAAATAATCTATTAATATGCCTTGTTAAAAGCTATTCATTCTGTGAATTAGTTTAATTCTTAAGCCTAACAACTATGGCAATATCAGCTTATACGCTACACTAAGAACTATAGTGTTAGTTCTTATATCACTAAGGCTAGCTACAACTTAAGCTCCATTCTTATATTAAGAGAGGAGGCTAGATATTAATAACGACAGATGTATGGGTCTATATGGAATTATACAGACTACGCTGCCATTACTACACACTAGATTAACGATAAATGGTAACAGAAATCTAAAGTACTTAACGTTGTACATCTTTAAGAGCCTATCTATAGTAGCGAATATCTAGCTTAATAATTAGCAATTGTAACAGGTGATATAGGTATTATAGGAGCTGTCTTTACCTATATAAGGGATAACGCCTTAGCTAATACTTATGCTTGTAGAATATGAGAAAATAGCTAGAGACTAGGAAGTTATAACATAACAGCTATAGATGTTTAGAGTTAAGGAAGGAGATGTATGATGTATAGCCTATATTATTAATATTGCTATTTAAGATGCTCTTAAGACTTTAAAGGCAGCCCCTACTAAGCAAGCTAAAAGTTATTAGTGTAAGCAAGGAGCTACGTGGATTCTAGTAAGCTCTAAAAGTAATATCAAAGTTAAGAATACTCTTGGTAAGCTACAAAGACATATCTATGTATTTAGAAATCGAAAGTAATGGAAAGATGCTCTTTAAAAGCAGATTATTACAGCTAGTCTTAAGAAGCTATAACTATCACTTAATATGCTAGTCTAGTAGAACTTAACATACGAAATGGTTTTAATGGTTATTAAGCTATAGATGCAAATTATAGTGATCTATGCTACTTAGAAAATAGATCTAAGTATAAGAGATATCGCTCTTATACTAGAGGATTAGATAACGCTCTACGCTCTTTAGAATTTCTTCTTTATATTTGTTAAGCTGTTGCAAAAGCTATAAGCAAGCTTATATCTAATGCTTAACTTCGCAATTCCTTGGTATCTAAAGATGATAAAGAAGCTTAAGGCTTTATAGAAGGAAGTTGGTATATTATTAAGGATTAGCCTAGCTTGTATTACTACTTATAAGAAGCTTAATGAGTACTATACGCTTGCTATGAATTAACGATGGAGTCATTTAGGGGTAGCTACAATTTGTAATCTACATATGAATCTTAGCATATTTAACAGTCTTGAGCTAAGTAGTACTAAAGAAGTTAAACAGAATAGGGTTAAGTAGCAGTTCTATAACGTCTTTATTTAATATAGAGACTGCTAATACTATCTTAAAGAAGAGAAAAGGGAAGCTAAGGCTGATTTACTACAATTACCTATAGAACCTAACTCTAACGACGATTTATATATCTCTTATAGTATTTACTAAGAACTAGAATAGAAGCACTAGATTGTTAAGCACTAGCTAGGTCTAGTAATAGATATCCTTAAATATTAGGTGGCAAAGCAATATTAATATCTAATTATAGCTATAATTACTTAAGACCATTTGGCAATTCCTATAATATTAACGTGTGGCACAAGCGAATGGTGCACACAAGCGAATGGTGCACACAAGCGAATGGTGCACACAAGCGAATGGTGCACACAAGCGAATGGTGCACCTGACCCTACTTTGTATTATATAATTACAGATAAAACATTAACTAGAACTCCAAATGACTACTATAATACATCCCCTGAACCGTACGAAGCGGCTCTACTAGCTGTTATGACCAGTCTTTCCACAGCCTCCAACAGCATCGATCATGTGATTCACCCTGTCTTTTCTTTCCTCTGCTTTGGCCTTCTTCCTTAAGAAGTTGGCCCTGAAGATCGGTCTGAGCCTCCAACTCTTGAATATCTTGTAGATCTAGGGTTCCTCCTTGCTGGATTAACTGTCGCTTTGTACGACGGTGACGGCTTAGTTCATTATTAGCCTTTTGGACCCTTTCAAGCTCTGTACTCAAAAGTATGTTTTCTTGCATAACCTTGGCTGTGCCCTTCACAAACAGGTCCACAGCCTCCAAAATAGGAGTTGGGGAGCTACTATGATGTCGTAAGATCTTTTGCTTAATCAGAGTTGTCTGTGAACTTGTGTGTTTTGTAGTTTGTGGGGTTCTAGATACCCATGAATGAGAGGTCGCTGGACGGGAACTTTCAGGTGTCGGAGTAAATAACTTGATATCCAGCTGAGATATCACTACCTCTGGGTCGTATGGTACAAGCCCAGCACCTCTGAAACCTCCTTGAATGTTTTCCTTGGTCATAGTAGCTTTAAATGCTTCTACAAATGCAGGTATAAAGGATTCCTTGCTAATATAGGTAATTCGGGTCCGGACAAGATTCTCAATTTGTCGACTGTATGCTTTCTTTAAAGGCCCAAAACACCCAAC